TATCCCAAGATATAATTTGTCATTCTTCTAATTTTCTGTATGTCTTCTGCATAAAATAAATTCTATCTGATGGGAAAATAAGTGTGCACATTAAGAAACAACACTGACAGGTGGCACCCAGGCCTAGGGCCTTCAGTTATCAATCGGTGCTCACAGACTCACATCTAGTAGAGACAGAAATGGGACAGTAGATAGGAGCTGCACCCAGGGAAATGTGCCCAGCTCCCTATAAGGTAAGAATTAGGGAATACTCTTCTGGGAAGGGGCTCTATGGGTTCTGGTACTTGGGCTGGAAGCTGAAGGATAGGTAGGATTCCAAGGGGAAAATATGAGAACAAGTCAGGTAAAAACCATGGAACCTGCAAAGGCCCAGGTGGGAAAGGGGGTCATGTTCAGGCAGCAAGGAAACAAATCTTGATAGGCCAAACAGCTCATGTGCAGGGAAGAAATGGAAGATACTCTGGAAAAGGCACCAAGACACACCTAGACATCCTTGGGTCTCCTCAGGAGATGCCACTTCCTTCCGTCTACTGCTCAGAGTCATTCTATGCTCCTTCCCAGTATGTTTAAGAGTCAATTATTTCCCATTTCATTTGCCACTCTAAAAATCAGACTGAAAAGTGTTTGTCTTCTCTAGCAACAAATAATGTTAGGACACAGAACTTGAGCACTCTTCAACGTGGCCAGAAACAGTGAAGATTCCTGTTCAGCCTCCTAGAAAGATCACTGAGGCCTCAGTCTTTAAGACAGTTTGGAAAGATGATGCATCATGAGTCAGAAAGTGGAATCCTGACATTTGTCATATAAAGATTGGAAAGCAATAGATTTAGTGTTTCTGTTTTAATATTGAGATCTATGATCCATTTTGACTTGAGTTTGGTGCATGGTGATAGACTTGGGTCTATTTTCAATCTTTGGCAGGCGGCAAGCCAATTTTTCCAGCACCATTTATTAAAGAGGTTAATTTAATTCTTCCAGTGAGTTGTTTGGTCCCTTTATCAAAGGTTAGGTGGCTGAGTGTGTTTGTGATTGTGGCTGTTTCTTC